GCTTTTAATGGATTAAACCCAAAATTATTTTAGAATTTCAACCGGGTTTGTAACAAACTATCAGATAAAAAGATTCGATTTATCACCTATGTCACGTCAATATGATGGCATTTTGTGTTCTTTCAGAATGGGGACAGTGGTCTTCCTGGGGAGAATGTTCTGAACTGTGTGGTGCTGGACTAAGAGAACGAGTAAGGACGTGTGCATCACCATTTGGTTGCATAGGCAACTCTAAGGATTTCAAAATATGCATTATTGAATATTGCGACGGTAATATTTCTACTAATGAAAATCTTTGTAATATGTCTGTTATATATAAAGCAATATATACATGATGTACGGAAACGGCGAATATATACGATAACTCATACTTTTGAGGTTATTAAGTAATATATTCCGTTGAAAGTGTCCGAATTTTCACTTTTTCTTTCTAAAAGAGATATGAGATATACATACATAATGTTAAAAGAAAAAAAGAAAGAAAAGAAGTTGACACTTCAGAACATTACGTTTCAATGCAGTTGACAGTAATTATAGCCTATTAAGTTACTCTTCAATGCGGAGTTAAGACATCAGGATGGTCATACCGTTAGTCAATCTTTACAGTTCTTTTATATGGTAATGTTGATATTGGGTACTTTCTGGTCAGAGTAGGGCGAAACTTCTTAACTACATTATAACATATGTGAACTTAGATATTTTATATATTTTTGATAAAAATATTCATATGTATTATACCAATTTGTCCGTATACTTCGCATGCCTGATCAATGTCCATGTCTAATCAAGTATGTAAAAGTACTGCTAAAGGCGAATTATTAATAAAACGCATTCTTTATATTTCGCTCTTGGACAACAGTTTATTCATTTATTCATGAGAAAGGAGTTATAGTGTAGCGACACGACTGTTGCCCGGAAAAATAAAACCTCACAAATACCTACTTGTTACTGTAAAATTAACGGAATTTTAATAAGAAAATGGCAAACACCTGACTTCCCATCTGACAAAAGTAGGCCATAATATCGCATCATGATAAATTAACTTTGCCAATGGAACACAAATGCAAGGTCATTTAGATAATTTAGATTACTAAACACAAATCATGAATTGTTTAACCATTTTCATTTGCCTGGTCTTGCATCAAATTGATGTATATTTTGATAATATTACCATACTCGTAAATGATAAAAAATATACAAATCAGACCATACCTAAAGCCTTTAATACTTTTGATGAACGTTTAAGTAGAGTGGTTATCGACTGTGATTTCCTTTGCTTAGAATAATGTCAGGTCCTCAGTATCTTTTGACAATCACATCCAAACGCTTTCCTGTTACATTAGGACATATCAAAGTTATTATTCTTGTTATTTTTCTACAACTCTTAACACGATCAATTCATATGTATGATAATTTCAAACATGTCGTAAATTAAAATTAAACCATATATGTTTTAAGATTATCATCCTGAAAGTCAAGTGGCGTTAGAACAAGTACCCCCAAACACTTAAAAATATGATTTTTTTTGTTTTGACTCTGCAAAGGATTTAGAATTTATGATTTGCAAAGAATCCGTTCAAAAATATCTTATATCTACAGTGGCACAAATGTGACATGTGTGTTTTTTATTTATCTCGTGGCCACGAGATACTATGCCGTGGCCACGAGTTACTAAGTCGTGGCCACGAGATACTATGTCGTGGCCACGATTTACTAAGTTGTGGCCACGAGATAGCTAAGTTGTGGCCACGAGATAATTAACCAATCAGAATACACTATATATATTATGAATTTTTTAAACTTAACAACTTACTTTTACATGCAACATTAATCTTTGAAAATACTAAAGACATTCACTTTGAATGCCCTGGTTTATTTTATTAGTAAATTGCCCGTGGAAGTAGATAGCCTATAAGGTAAATTTACAGACTGGTAAAGTAGGGGCATCCTTGTACTATAGCACATGTCTAGTTAATTAGGAAAATTCACATAAATGGTGTAATCTGATCGGTTATTTATCTCGTGGCCACGACTTAGCTATCTCGTGGTCACGATTTAGTAACTCGTGGCCACGACATAGTATCTCGTGGCCACGACTTAGCTATCTCGCGGCCACGACTTAGCTAAAGTATATCGTGGCCACGAGTTAGCTATCTCGTGACCACGATTTAGTAACTCGTGGCCACGACATAGCTAAAGTATATCGTGGCCACGAATTAGCTATCTCGTGACCACGACTTAGTAACTCGTGGCCACGACATAGTATCTCGTGGCCACGACTTAGTAACTCGTGGCCACGACATAGTATCTCGTGGCCACGAGATAGATAAAAATTAAACATGTCACCTTTGTGCGGCCACGAGTTAGCTATCTCGTGGCCACGACTTAGTAACTCGTGGCCACGACATAGTATCTCGTGGCCACGAATTAGCTATCTCGTGGCCACGACTTAGTAACTTGTGGCCACGAGATAAATAAAAACGCACACGTCGCTTTTGTGCCATCGTATATATCTGATCATTTGTGAAAGTCTTTTGTCATACCGTCATAGGTTAATTTAAAAGCATGAATTTGATATTTAGAAAATGTGCACAGTAAGGCATATGATCTTTACTATTTTCACTTCTTATTTGTCCATAATATTAAAGGACACAGTGACCAAACCAATTTAATCACCATTGCAATTGTTCGTAAATGTCATTTGTCGTTAAATTTTATGACATATATAATTATTATAAATGTTCTAAATATTGATTGTATTCTTTAAGTTCGATTGGTTGGAGGGTCAAATCAATATGAAGGGAGACTGGAAGTATGGCATGATGGAACTTGGGGAACAGTATGCGATGATTATTTTGATGCGCATGCAGCAAAGGTTGTTTGTAAGATGCTTAATTATCCACAGTAAGTATCAAACGATATAAACTTATTCCTGTATATGTAGTCATACATGTTATATAGTTGATGTATTATTAATCTTTTTATCTTTGAAATAAATTGATTACCACTATATATATGTATCAAACAAATCAGGAACCTGAATAAAATGCAAAAACTGGCAAAAATAATTGTGCTAATCAATGACACGAAGATATAAAATGTAAATTTTATTTTATCATATACATGTAATTCTTCAATGATGTTCTGGAATCGATTTCATTCCTTTTTAGCAAGTCCGTTATAATAATGTTTAGTTTTTTTCTGATGGACATGAACCAACCATAAGATAATTATGCACGCAATGCGTATTCATAAAGTTTTCCACGTACCTCTGAAAACCTTCAAGACACACATGATCAGCAAACTATGTATTGAAATATTTACATCAGATCTGGGCGAAATTTGAATCACCTAAACACAAAGTGTTCAAAGTCGAGCTTTTTTTGATGGAAGTGTGTGCATCGATCGTTGTTCTTAAAACCTTTTCTCCTTTTATAGAACAAAATGGATTTTGTCTTAACCTAAAAAAATGGTCTTTAAACATTATATAAATATTTACAGTTATATGCATATGGTTTAAACTCTACGATGCCTAAGATCTTTGATATATAGCTTGCTATATCTAGCCGTAGGCCTCCACAGAAGTTTCACAATTCATTCCCTTGTGATCATAAATTGTCCAATTCAGTGACCACTTAGTTAATAGAGACCTATATAGTGAAGCAGTTAATTGTTCTTGTGAAAAAAATCTCATGCCCAGTGTTTACATATTTGGTATGAAGCATTGCTAAGTAAACATCTATGGAATAAAATATTAAATAAATCTTTCCCATGGGTCAAAAAGGTATCACCCTGGGACTGACGAAGTTTCCATATATTTGTATAGAAAAAATACAAAACTCGGAAATTTAAAAAAAAAATGTTACATGTAGCATAACATTTTAGTCTCTTATAAACCGTACTTAAATCTCGCCGCTATGTTAAAGATTGGCCCGCCTTAAGGTTCACTTATATTCAATAGACGTTAATAGTAAACATGTCTGAAAATTCTTTTCTTCCGAAACTACAGTGCCCATAGCAAACATTTTTACATGTAACATTACCTCTATAAAGTAATGAAAATAATTTCCCTAGAAATTAAAATTGGTGAAAATACACGTATATAGAAAAATAAATTCAAATCATCTTATTTAAATACAAAAAAACTCATAGCTGAGATGTTTTCATCAAGCATTGCCTAATTACCCTCTACAAAATTACATTAATCATGCAGCTTGGGTGAAAAACACAACACTAAAAAACACCCAATATATTTTTTGAATTACCAAGTGAAAGAGGAATGGTCCAAATTTCATTAATATACATTAAAGGACAAGATAGTAGGCCACTGTCCTCTTGGGGGGGGGGGGGGGGCAGGTCAAAATTTTGACCCAAGGATTTAATTCAAACCATTTTGAAACAGATCTGTATTTGTTTTAGTTTTTGTTTTTACTACTGTGCAGTGTATGTGTACATAATAAAAATCAATGCCCCCGGACAGGGCCAATTTTAACACAAGGGGAAAAATTTGAACAACTTTGGTAGAACCTATACATGATATTATATACCAAATATCAAAGCTCTTAGCCTTGTACCTTCAGACAAGAAGATCTTTACGTTTTTGCTATATGTACAAAGTGAAAATCAATGACCCCAAAGTTGGGACCAATTTTGACCCTATGGCTATAATTTGAACAAACTCCGTAGAAGTTCACTACTCAATGCCTTATGCCATATATCTAACCTCTAGCCTTTGTCAATTCAGAGAAAAACGATTTTTCAATTTTTTACAATATACATATAAGGGAAACCTATCGTCCCTTGGGCAGGGCAATTTTGACACTAGGGGTAAAATTTAAACGACTTTGGACGAGGCTCTATAGATGATATTGTATACCAAATATCAAAGCTCTAAGCCGTGTGCCTTCAGACAAGAGATTTTTAATTTTTTACTATAAATATATTTAGTGGGCTTAAGTGATTTTATGTTGTCCGATAGTTCTCATTATTTACTTCTGAACCATATGATGGCAACTTCACAAGAACTGCATAACTTTTTTTATAAAAGTTGTTCCGTTCTGAAGTACGAGTAAGTCGCATGAACTAAAATAGACTACTAAACATAGACTTTAACAATGAAATCGTAAAAAACACGGTCCTTTTCTGGCAGGGACACATATACAAACAATTCACTCTCAACTTATATCTTAAAAATTCTGCTTAATTTGGTGCTATGGAGCGTGGACGGTGACTTCTTTTTTAACCTACCGTCTATTACCAGGTTCAACCAAACTGAGCCTGCACCATTTTCAATCTTGTTCTTTAGGGAGTCTGTTTTTCTCTATTTTAACACAAACGACTCGTTTCTATGTGTATATCGTATATACATGTATATATTTTCTGTAAACCAGTGGTATCTGTCTTCAATACTAAAACGTATTGATATGCAAGTGTCTGCCGAAAACGTAAAGATAATTTCATGAGATTGATGTTATCATTGTCTTAAAAGGTTACCAAAGAAATGACTCATAATTTATCATGTTTAAAAGCAAGCTGAGCTGATAATACATAATATGTGTTTTTGCGTGATGCGTTGTCGCTAGCGACAACACAACAAATATCGTTATCGCCTTTTCGTCTTGTCATCTTGTTGCTGCGAAACGCGCCAAACTGCTTGTTTTCGTGCGGCACGTTTGTCACCGTGGCGCCCTGTCCCTTGGACTATATCAACAGTTGGCTTCTTTGTTAACATACCAAAAAAAAGATAATGGAGAATGATGATATTTCATTTTATAGGACAAATCTTTAAAATCATTTTCTGATAACATAACATCCTTATCCATTACTTTTTCTTAAGTTTGAATTTGTTTTTTCGCGTCGGCCGTGACTCGACGGTCTATCGAAATGGGCAGGGAAAATCTCTCTTTCATTTAACGAAAGGCCATGTTTTATTTGTTATATTATAACGAATCAAAATCCTTTCATCTCTTTTGTTGTTGTCATTTTTACGATAAAATTTGCTTTAAAAAATAATTTATTTGATCAGTATCCCAAAACATAGTCGGATTTTTTATTATTATTTTCAAGCGATACAGCAAAAAAATCATGCTCTCCTTTTGTTATTCAATTTTTGTTAATCAATTTAAAAGTAAAAAAAACCCCGATCTTTAAGATTTTCACAAACTGTATAAATAAAATTTATAATCAATTTAAAGACAAATCATGACTTTTGATCAATATGTAATAAAATTTATGTGAAACAAAACAATAAATTCAGTAAAAAGAATCATTAACAACAAAATAAAATATTATACCTCATTTGCAAACGCCCTTCAATGCTTAATATGACGTCATCAAGTCCATATAAGAATTAAGGACCGCCCCGGTCGGTATGCGGTTTATGGACCGAATGACGTTATATAAAATATAGAAGGGCGTATGCAACAAATGAGGTATACTATTTATAGATACGTTAGCAGAACTTCTCAAGTTACAGCTCATATTTTATGCTGTTCTCAGTGTTGATCTGTATAGAAGACTGATAAAGGTCAAACGAAGACGCGTTATCTTGTCTTTGTATAGTTCATAGATTACTTAACAACTCATTGATAATTAATAAATGGCTAAAACAATGTCACTGGGTTAAATATAAATGATTACACAATCAATGACAGTTGAAATAATTTATTAGAATAGAGTTAAAAGGTGTATCAATGTATTTTGAGTAACTAAACTGTCTATATATCAGACAACGCAATTAAAACTCATACGAGTTATATAAAAATTAAATATTTTAATTTGATCACTGTCCAAAAAGCTGAAAATTTATTTGAATATTTAAACTATTTAAAATAACATTAATGTTTTAACTGCAATTAACCCCAGTTTTAGATATTTATTTATTACTAAGGTAATTTTCTGAGAATAATTCAAAAGTATAATTGTTCGTAAGAAAAGCCAGAAGATGACTCCACATACTGTGTTTAAGTGCATTCCGGGCCGATAGCGCGCATATGCATCACTGTGTCCTAGCCGGTGCTCATGCGCAGATGCCAGTGCAGTTGAGGAGCCGGGGCAAAGTCGAATCAATTGCGCCGTGTATGTAAGAAATCCGGTGAAGCGATCCGTACAATAATACAACTTCGACTGTCATACTATCATCAATATATCGCATGCGCAAACAAGACATAAACGAAAATGAAAGTTGAATGTTTTAATCACAAACTTTTATAAGTTTGCTTCTTTAAATAGAAGCATGCATGATGTCTTTTTGCAGCTGTGATGATATTGCAGTGATTTAATGCTTTAGAGTAGTTTCATTACGCAACAATTGTGACAATGCGGAGTGGTCGTATGCGAAAAACATCAATTCCATGCCATGACAGTCATGATGAGCAGTTTTAGATTAAAGGGACAAACTTTTTGAACTAGTGGATTTTTAAACTACTGGATCATGTCAAATTCAGAGTAATTAGATTTACGTTATACAAAAAAATAATTATGGGTAGTATTTAAAACGGAAATATCGAGGAATACCAATTAAGTGAACTGTTTTTAAGGAATATGACATTATTCTGTTATTTGTAAACGGGCTGTTAAACAACCAAACGATGCTTTCTATGTACAAAATAATTTTAATCAATAATAAAACAAATAAAAGTTGAGCACGGTGCTTCGACGATATATGTGTGATATTTGTCGATGAAACCCGTATTCCATGTAAATTTTTAACCAATTATCCGCGCAGGTCCATTATTAAGGATAGTTAACAATTAAAAGTATGAAAAGTATTTTTAAATGACCGTCGCCTTCGCAGAAATCTATTACAAAAATAGATGACTGCTCAATTTTTAGCTCACCTGTTACAAAGTGACATGGTGAGTTTTTGTGATTGCTTTTCGTCCGTCGTCCGACCGTCGTCTGTCCGTATATCGTCCATAAACTTTTTCTTTAAACAAAATCTCTGTAAGCCAAATTCATCCAAGCTTTACATGAATGTTCCTTGGCAGTTCACCTTTGAAAATTGTTCAAAGAATTGAAATACTTGCAGAGCTGTTATTGCCATAGCAACTGAAAAAAACTCAAGAAGTCTTCTTTTAAAACACCCAAAGAGCTAGAGCTTAGATATTGAGCATGAAACATCGATAAGTGGGTCTCTACCAAGTTTGTTGGGGTCACAATTGGCCCCTCTCCAGGGTATCATTGATTTTTCTTATAGTGTATAGTAAACGAGTCTTCTTCTAAAAAGCCAAAGAGCTACAGAACATCTTAGATATTTAGCATGAAACATCTTCTAGTAAGTGTCTACTATGTTTGTTCAAATATAATCCCTGGGTCAAAATTGGCCCCGCCTCAGGGTGTCATTGATTTTCCTGATATGTATATAGTAAAAACACAAATTAATCTTTTAAAGAATCCTAAGAGCTACAGCTTAGATATTTAGCATGAAACATCAACGAGGAGTTGTCTACTAAGGTTTTTCAAATAAATGTCATGGGGTCAAAATTGATGTGAACCAACATATTAGTGGTTCCGACCATAGCCGACTGGTTCACCTCTTCAAAGCGCGGCGCATTTGCATACGGCAAAGCTGGGGAGCCAATTTGATTTTGTAGAAAGATTTTTTAATGTAGTAAAACGGCGATAACCTTTTTGTTTATTTCGCCTGTTGGGTTGTTTATATCAAAGGGGGTTGTAACGGTGCCTGGACTCTATATTGGGGTTATTTGTGACCAAAACTAGGTCCAGACCCAAAAAACAGGTGACAATCCTTATATATAGACAAGGGTTCCAACTCCAAAAAACGCAATTTTCGCCCCAAGCTCAATGAGAAGCGAATTACTTTTCCATTTTTCAAGCAAATTCTATATTTTTTACGTGTACATGTAGCATACTTATGGTACTTTCAATAAATAATAGCAACTTGTCCCTTTTACCATGCATATAGTAACCTGCCGAACACAAATCTAGCCGAAAACGACTTTCTTGCTTAGTCCACCGAGAAGTCGCAACATTGTAAACAACGTGATTTATCCCGTAAAAAAACATTTACAACAATGAACACAGGAAGCAATGGCTTGAATTCAATAAAAAATACTATTTTGCAAAACATGCATGTATAATTACCTTATTCGACATACGTCCATAAAACGTTTATTTTCTTTCACTTTCTAACTTTTCTCTGAGAACTTCCATTCGCTTGTCACGTGACAAATTTGTAAGACGTCGTTTCATTGGCTGTAGCGCTGGTTCCGTAAACCAAGACTTGTACAGCTGAAACGAGACACCAAAACACCGGATGTAAACAACAGCTGATTTCATCACATGTCGTATTAAATAAATGTTAACAGTTTAACACTGTTTAAGATGAATATTGGACAGAAAAAGCCGTTGACATTGTGATAGAAGGCCATAATCTTCTACTATTAGGTTCATCAGGAACCGGCAAATCATTTGTTATCATTGAAATTGCCAAAAGCTTGAAGAAGATCGGTAAAAATGTACAGATCACATGTTCAACAATTGGAATTGCGTGCAGTGTTATTATAAAGGGTCAACGCTTGTACTATTCATCAGTTTACTGGGATATCCGATGGTCGTTATGGCCCTGATCGTATCACAGATGTTATAAAAAACAACCCAAAACATAAGCATGTTACTCAAAAACATATACAATGTTGACACTATAATTGTTGATGAATGCTCAATGATAAGTCAACAAGTTTTTGACAGTGTAAATAATGTTTGTAAAATTAAAGACCCAAGTCGTGATTTTGGAGGTATACAGATAATTTTTTGTGGTGATTTCCTCCAGTTACACCTGTTGCCAGTCCATCGTATGGTGATGAAGGAAAGTATTGTTCTGAGCCTGATGATTTTAAGAAGACATTTCCCCCATAGAGTCATTTTTAACTGAGATAGTAAGCCCAAAGTAAAGGAGCATTTCCTTTTACAGAAATTTAAATTTAAGTATGAAAAAATTATGGTTAAACCCTTTTTAAATTTTGAAAACTTTTTTCCTAATTGAATGGGCACCTTAACTTTCAAGAATTTTCAAGGGACGTAAAAATATTTCCCCAAAAAATTTAAAGAGGATTTATAACAGAAAGTGTTTTAGAATTTTCCCCTGGAAATGTTTTAATGAATTTAAATCTAAAAGCCCAAGGGATTTGGCAAAAAAGATTCTTCAATTTCGGCTCCTCTTTTAAATTATGGCTAAAGTTTTTTTGGGCCAGTTTTTTTTTTTGGAAAAAATTTATCAGACAAATTGTAACGGTCCCCCACGTAAATTAAAGGGATTTTCCCCTGATGTTTGTTCTGCCCCAACTTTTTCCTTTTTCCCCAAAAAACCCAAAACATGACAAAAAGGACCCCCAAAAAATTTAAAATTTACAGGTAAATTTCTATTGACATAATAATATGTTAGTTTGTCTCCCTTCTGAAAAGTATGATATTTAACCGTAAGGAAATAGTTTTGTTCCTTTAACCTTACATCAAATTTTGAAAATTTATACGATAATGTTATATAATCATAATAAATAATAAGGACTCTCACAATGCTTTGTATCTTGATGCAGCAAGTCAAGAAATATAAAGCTTAGGCGGAAATTACTTCCCTTTTGTTTCTGTTAGTTAAACTGCAAATGCTAAATGATAAGTTATATTGAAATTAACATGAATAAGCCACTTTTTACTTCTGTACTAAAGCAAGATGATAAAAAACTTTTATTAATCATGCATTTCCAATAGAGGTATAAATCTGTGTAATTGACATTTTTGTTAATTAAATAAATATCCAAAGAATATATGATTAACTTAAAAATGACATAAAATTTTGCTCAGATATGATTGACTACATTTTAGATATATCTATGTTTCAGTTTACAGTCAAAGGCTTAATACTGATATAGCTGTAAGAGAGCAGTATCCACTAAAACCTGCATTTGGACGTACCATACATAAAGCACAAGGAATGACACTAAACCGGTTAGTATAGAAAGAGAAAGCAAGTCATAGCTGACCATATACAGCCAATCTTTGTTCAAATAACTACAATTATATGGAATTTCTAATTCTGTTTGTAATGTAGAACTATATGTGATACAATTTGTTTTATAAGCACTTAACAAGAGTTTTTATCATTATTTTTGGTATTTTTGTGACTTCATACACTTGTTACTATATATATATATATTTCAGAGCAGAAGTTGACTGCAGAGATATATTCAGGCCTGGTCATCTTGGTGTAGCAATGTCACGTGTAACTACATCTGCAGGTCTAAGGGTCATCAACTATCACCCTAGATACATCATACCTCCACCTCAGACTGTTAAAGATTTTGTAAATGAGGCATCACAACCAGCTTTCCCTGACTTAACATGTTGCAGAAACTCACACAGGTATTTATGCTTTTATAAAATTCATGATGAAAATATTTATTCTACTTCATCTTAAATTGATGAACTATCACCAGGTTTTTTTTACTGTAAATAGGATGACAACAGTTGATTTTATTAGTTGAAAAATATCATATTTCACTCATGGCTTCTGCCACTCAACAATTTTTTTTCATACCACTCAATGAAAATAAATCCTGTATTTATCAATAAACTTGAATATTCTCTATTCTAAATGATATTTTTTGTTACTGAATAATTTGATAATAAATAAATGAATAAAATCATTTAATAATAATTAAATAAATAAATGAAATAATGAAATAATAAATAAATATAAATGACTTAATAAAAATGTTTTTTTCTGAATAAATATTTTTTTGGAATAATTTAATAAGAAGTAAATAAAATGATTTAATTACAATTCAATAATTTAATAAATGAAATGATTTAATGAAAAAAAGATTAATAGACAAATAAATAAATAAATAAATTAAATAAATAAATAAATAAATAAATAAATAATCTAATCTGTAATATATTCAGAACTTCAGAAGTCACCTGCCTTAATATATTGGTATTGTTGCAACTGCAGTCAGGTTTGATTTTACTAAGCCATACCTATTATTACAATTAAATATGAAATATATTTACCTTTTTAGCTTGACTATTCGCAGAATAATTGAGCTAATGCAGTCATCCGGCCATTTGTCACCGTTGGCGCCCCTGTCGTTAAGTTTTTGCGTGTAAGCAAGTATTCTCTATAATTACTGAAGGGATTTGATTGAAATTTCACACACTTGTTCTCAAATGATTATCAAACATGATTGGCACAAGTCCCATAACTCTGGTTTGCTTTTTTGCATGATAATGCCCCTTTTTCCACTTAGAAATTCTTGGTTAAGTTTTTGTATGTAAGCTGGTATCTCAATAACTACTGAAGGGATGACTGAAACTTCACACACTTGAACTCTATGATTATCTAACATGATTGACACAAGTCCCATAACTCTGATTTCCTTTGTTGCATGATTATGCCCCTTTTTCCACTTAGAAATTCTTGGTTAAGTTTTTGCATGTAAGCTGGTATCTCCATAACTACTGAAGGGATGACTGAAACTTCACACACTTGAACTCTATGATTATCTAACATGATTGACACAAGTCCCATAACTCTGATTTCCTTTGTTGCATGATTATGCCCCTTTTTCCACTTAGAAATTCTTGGTTAAGTTTTTGCGTGTAAGCTGGTATCTCCATAATTACTGAAGTGAATGGTTTGAAACTTCACACACTTCTTCTCTGTGATTATCTAACATGATTGGCATAAGTCCCATAACTCTAATTTGTTGTTTTTTTTGCATAATTATGCCCCTTTTTCGAATTATAGTCTGATAACTTTGATGTCAGAACACTTGTTATTGCTAGCTGGTTTTCGTTTCCTGACTAGGGGTTTCATGCCCACTGTGAAAGGCACGGCGCTTGGATCAGGCTTTCCGGCATTTGATTTCCTGGAAATGACATTTTGGCCCACAAGGATGCTGTTTGGAACACATTTTCAATCACATCTGAGTTTATTAATCCTGGTGGAACATGAATTGTTGTTGACATTTTTAATACAAATTTGCACAATAGAATGAATCCCTGAATGCAAGCTTGAATGTCTTCATGGCATTCTAGTGACATAAGCATTTTGAGATTTGATTTTTTAGTCTTTGATTTCTTTTGATGCCCATATCTCTCCCATTCTAAAGACCATTCACTAACTGTGTGCAGTGTACTCAACCTAGTATCATTTAAAGTTGTTATTGGTCTCATGTCAAGGAAAATTGAAACAATATGTGATGTATTTTCCAGGAGATGCACAGCACCATTAAGAATTTGACCCTTTTCACCAAGAGAATTCTGATATTGTTTCATTAAATTCATCATTGCATTATTTAATACTTCTTCTGCTAGGTGGTTTCTCATTTTTTGCTGTGTATCTGGAAATATATGTTCATTTGTCAGTTTTCTATGTAACTGCAGACTGTTCTGTTGTTCCCATTTGTACCAGTCCATGAAGACCTGTCACTGAATATTATTACCATCTGGTAAAGTTAGACCACTTTTCATAATAATATTACGGATTTTTTTTAAAACATGAGAAACACCCATTGTGAAAATAACATCCTGTGATGAAGTTGGATTAGGTGACAAAAATTTATAATTCAAGTATGAATTTTCACCAACACAAAGATGCATAAATGAACGATTACACACTGCACCATCCATGCATGTGTATAAAACTTTAAAACCATATGTATACAAATGTTGAACAGCTTTCCAAAATAGACCATATAATTCTGATGCTTGTACATTGTCCGTAATAAAATGTGCGAATGGAAATCTGAAGCCTGTGATACCCAAGAACAACAGCTGCAGAACATGCGTGCCCAATTGTCTGCCACCAGTCCCTGTGCGAAGTGTGTTGCACATGTCCCCTTCTTTACCGAGATCTGTGAAGCCTACTAACTCTACAACATCACCATTTTTACTGATCTGTAGGTCACTTTGGATAGACATCTCATCAAAAATGAGACCTCCAGTCATCCCTTCATCTGGTAGATTTCTTCTTTTAGCCTCCTGTAACATCCACTCAAACATTGACTGATCAAATCCAGGTTCCTGTTTAAGTCTATTTTTATACATTATTAAAGTTGAAGCTGATGGAAGTACTAAAATTTTTGAAGAAAGTAATATTTCATAACTATGAGGGCTTCTGTTGTAAAGTTGGAGGCATGTACCAATAAATGATTTTGACCATCTTCTCCCTCGAGGATCACAAGCAACATTTTTTGATTGTTCTACAAACAAATTGACCAGTTCAGGGTTTGCGTGTTTCAGAAGATGTTTGATGCGGACTAAGTTGTCATCATCTTTGTCATTAGCAGATGGATTTATATTTTCTTTATCAGGGGATGAGAATGTCATGGTTCGGCATGTTTTACATGTATTACTCTGTGCTGCAAAGGGTGCAATTCCGTTGCAGGAAATAGAGCGTATTGTCTTAACAGGGGCTGCTGTGTTGTTTTTCTGGAATTGTTCAAGTGTGTGAAACCTACTCATTATGACCGGTTTACTGAAAACAATACCTTCACAAATATTTAACTTTACCACAATAGAACAGATGTTACTTACACTGAATTCATCAAATGTGAATGTGCTTTTTACTTGCACAGTACTAAGATTTACACTTTTTACAAAAACTGCCAGGTCCCAAGTTCCATTGTTATAAAATTTTACCTTCTTTGTAACAGCATTTCCATTTGATAAACAAGTGCTATTTGTAGAGCATTCTATTACATTATCAGTTACACAGTTAACAGTAAATGTCTGTGGCAGAAAGCTGATGATATCCTTAAACTGTGAAGTTTTGTTAATGGGCTGTAACGGTTCTATAGCTATACCCCTGTACAATGTCAGCCACTTTCCATTTCCACGTTTTCTTACACGTTTTGTTTCCGGATATACTGTGTTCAGATTTTCCAAAAACACTCTTAATCCAGGTAGAGGCTGGGTGCTGCCAGACTCTGTCAGCTCAAATTTAAAACTTTCATACAGAAAGTTGACTTCAACTTCACTGTCCTTCTCATAGCGTAATCGTGAATTTAACCTGTAAAGAAAGATAGACAGACTTTAACATAGCTATTTCAGTGTTTTTAATGCACTTATATAAAATACAAATTTGTACCTTGTAATCTAATCAATTAAACACTCTGGGATGCTTCAAGATCAAAAAGGCTTGACCTGTTTGCTTTTAAACTTTTATAAACTTTGATTTTTAAGTATTATTTATTTATATGGTATTGAAAAAGGTCATTTGATCAATTATTAGGTACATAAATGAGATTATAAGGTACATATTCAATCAAACCTGTGTTAAAGCCCACCTCCAAATAGAGACCAACTGCTTATTAAAATAACATGTTTTGTTTCTCATTTTGATTTTTAATATGTATTTAAACCTCGGAATAAAGACCAACATGACCAGACAACAAAACCACATTTTTGCCTTCCTAAGGGTAGTCTTTATAGACAGGTTTGACTTATTGTCTGAATGATAATTGCATGCATATGTTATTATGATATTATTAAGGGTTATACAGTTATACAGTACCGGGTATTATGCATGAGTATTGAAACATTTGCAACACAGCATAAATGAAGGCAAATTATTTTTATTTCCACTTGTTACAGTAAATCTGAAGATGCTGCACCACTCAGTTTTGAACAAGTTGATGACAGTTCTGCACAAAGTGCTGATATAGAAGATATTGACTGTGAAAATGGTGATGACGACTTTGATGAAGAATTTAATACAGTTATAGCCACAATTATATCTGATGAAGCTGAATCTGTTGAATTTGAGATTCCAGAAGGATTTGATATTGACAGTGTTATGCAGTCAATGCTTTACAAAAAAGAAGTAACTGATACACATGTTTGTATAAATAGAATTATTCATGAAGTTGACAGTCATAGACTTATTACATTTGTCAAAAAACTGTTTCTGAAATTGGCTAGTTACATCACAAAGTTAACAGGCAACAAGTCTATCTCGAATGGAATTCCGGAAAAGAATATTGTCAGTTTCTACCGCTTGGTACATGAGTTCAGTACAAGTGCAGAGTATAGAATGAGTTGTTTTATGTTATTTCATGGAGAGGATTTCACAGATAATCACATGATAGTTTGCTACAACTTAATAGAAGCTGTTAGGTTGTTCTATTTAAAGCAAAAGGTTGATTTGTTGAAAATTAGCAGCAGTTTTATTACAAAAAGGCGTGTGACAGACGCATCCAGAGCTCGTGTACGGTATGTTGCAGGCTATTGTTTAGCATCTCTCAGAAAAAAGTTTATTAAAATTCAAACAAGCAATTTATGTTCTACCAGCAAGGTAGGTCAGGACATGTATATTGAAGCCAAATGGATAAATTACATTCTTAACATCCTCAGGGAAGATGAACATTATTTGAAAGCTCACACTGAAGAGCCAGATTCATTACTTGATATTGAAAGGAAGCAGTATGCATCAAGGGGCTTAATAAATGTAACTGACAGGCTGTTTAAATTCTTTGTTTGTCTCACTGAAAAGTGTCTGCAACTCCTCATTCATGAAAATCGTATGAAATATATAAGGAGTGTTTAGAATTTATTTTAAATGAACAACCTTTATATGAACAGTTTGCTAATGTTGTTGTAACAAGTTGTTCTGAACAGCCCATTGTAGAGTTTGATGAAAATTCAGATATAATTAGTGTGATGGAAAAAATGATGTAGATTTCATCTAAGATTTGCAGTATATATCATGAACTTGTTGAAAAATACCTTATGGTGCTATTGTCTCAGTTTCGGAAAGACATTAAGTCTGCATATAGGGTTGAAAAAACTATGGCTCATCGTAAGCAGATTAAGGTGACGACGCAAAAGCAAACTGCTGGTGAATCATCATCCAATAAATGTAAAAATGTCAACAAAACATCTGTTGTGCACAATGTTCCAAAAGAGACGGATTCATCAGATGCAATTGTGGCTGAACCAGGCCCGTCCTTGGAGCCCCAGGCCAGTATGTCTGACGAACCTGAGCCTGGGCCATCTGGACTTCAAGCTGGATCATCAGACACTGAAGATACCACTGACTTATGTCACTTCTGTTTTATTGACAAAGATGATGAATGGATACAATGTGATTCGTGTAACAATTGGTATCATAGAAAGTGTTTGAAAATTAAAAGCCTTATGTTTTCTATAAAAAGAATTTAGTTACCTTTGACCCAATATATCATTTTTAATGTTCTTAGTTTGCTCAGGAGTACTCTTGAATAGGGAAAAATCTAATCGCCAGGATGACACCACCCTTTGAATGCAAAGGGAAATAAAACACAAATGTTGAATAAATTTAAATCAACCAAATAAACCAAATTTTAAATGAACTAAGCTTTTATTTACATTTAACTAAAAGTTACTTAAAACTAAACAAGTTGACAAAAAGTACTTTAATATAAATTGTTTGTAATTAAGCAAAAATATGATGATCAAAATAATTTAGTGAATAAAAGATTTAAACCAGTTGAAAGTTGTTTAAACTGTTATAACTGAAAGTATAAAAAATAACCTTAATGATACTGTGCTATTAAAATAATAAATCTGAATAGTAGCAAGCCTTGTTTTAATCTATGTCAACAAAAATAAAGATCTAATAATTCAAGATGGCTGCTACTTAAAACAAAGAAAAGATATTAATTAATCTTAATTACTTATGTAAAAAGAAATTACTATTTAAAATAACTTACTAATTTATCAAAAATGTTGCAGTGAATTTAGATAATCTCTAAGGTTCATTTAAATGCCAAAGTGCCTAAAATAAATTAAATAATTAATCAATTAACCTTAGAGAGCTTTTAGGGATGTTACTTTTCCAAGCATTAGCAGCAGAATGTCAAAATTGTGTAAAGTGCCTGTATTTATGCACACTACTGGGAATCAGAACTTTGTGTGGAACCAGTAAAATACAGAACTGCTCTGATTGGTCAATGAATCTTAGCCAATCAGAGCTCATTAAGGCTTTACATAACTATCCTAAAAATAGATTATGATTCATGGAAAATTTTGCAACAGTTTCAATTGACCATGATCACAAAAATAATAAAGTAATAAACGTTTACAAAAATGTTCTAAACAGTAAAGCTAGAAACTAATATCAACTAAACATATTTACAAACATAAATAAATCATGTAAATGCTAAATCAGTGACTTGTAACTCACTCAGTTTAAAGTCCAGTATAAGTGAAAGTAGAATCATTCTCTATATATTGTATGTAAAGAGTCTTAGGCCATGCTAAGTTACTGTTAAAGAATGTATCAATAAGTTCTACAAACTATAATCAACATTTAGACTAATGAATGATAAGAATGAAATGTCTATAAAACAATGCATGTTCCTTATGATTAAACTTTAAAATAAATATAAATCTAAGTTAAAGTTTAAAACCTTTAATATTTTTTGAAAAATATATATGAAAATTATATATGATTTACTTCTTGAGTAATATTAAGAGGATATTTTTTCGTTTAAGTGAAATATGGAATTTATTTTCACGAAGCATGATTAAATGCCAAATATTTTCACGAGCCGGGACGGCGAGTGAAAATATGTGGCATTTTATCATGCTGAGTGAAAATATATACCATATTTCACGAAAAACGAAAAAATAACATTTTTATTAAATTTCATTATCAAAGAAAAATGGTTACGAACCCCATTGCTTGCTACGCAACTGCAATTGTACAGCGCGCAGTAATATATTATTGCGTCTTGTTTTGCACGCGATATTTGGCGCTACATTGTGACGTCACGTAAACAACTCTTTTAAACGTCTGTACAGCGTTAATAACTGAATTAAAGATATTGGTGTTCGGATTTATTTTCTTAGTTAGACCATTTTCTATCATTCTAGATAGTTTTCAAAGCAAAATTCAACAAAAAGTTGTTTTGTATTTATCAGATTTTTCAAACAAAATGGCGAAAGAAGTCCCTTAAAATAAATATTAGTTTTGACTCCGCCCACTTTCATATTTATATTTCATATTTATTTTTAAAAAATATGAAATATATTTGACTGATATAGCACCATATTTCATGGGTAAAATTAAATAATATGCAATATTATGTAATGATTACATAACCTGTTGTAGTTGGAATCCAACTTTGCAACATATACATCAATGACCTCCCTGAATATGTCCAATCCTCTAAAGTCCGCCTATTTGCTGATGACACGGCCATCTATCTATCTCTGACTGTCGCTTCTCATTCTAGCTTACTACAACATGACTTACACCAACTTGAACAATGGGAGACAAAATGGGACATGCAATTTAATCCATCAAAATGCCAGGTTATCCAAATCACAAAACGAATAACAGTCATTCCAACACAATACCTCCTACATAACACCACATTGGAAACAGTTCCATCTGCAAAATACCTTGAAATTACAATATCAAATTATCTAACATGGAACAAACACAAACAACATCACAATAAAGGCGAATAAAACACTTGGTTTTCTACGCCGACACATCAAGGTTCAATCAGAAAGGTTAAAGTCAACCGCATACAAGACACTTGTCAGGCCCCAGCTTGAGTACAGCTCCACGGTCTCGTCCCCCTACACAGGAACTGTCATTGACCAGATAAAGTCCGTCCAGAGAAGGGCTGCTAGGTGGACCAAACATGACTTCGGCCGTATGTCAAGTGTCACTGACATGTTGACTTCCCTTCAATGGAGGCGCCTTGACATTCGGCGTATTGACCAACGCCTTGTCATGTTTCACAACATCTTGCATGACTGACCAGGTGGCTATCCCTTTCCCAAAGTATATCATCCCTCTTACAAGATCATGTAGAACATCCCATCTCTATGCATTCCAGCAAGTCCAAACTAAACCTGATTACTATAAAAATTCATTTTTCCCAAGAACAATAGTCCACTGGAATGCGTTACCACCTGATAACATAAACTTGTCTGGCCCCGAGTTCAGTCTGGCTGTAAGCCGGACTGAACATACGTCTCCCTAAAATACCTATTCTGTTTTAACCTGTTTTTCACAATATACTCATTTCCATTACTTTAATATTCTTATATTTCAGCTCTTTACTAATATTCTTGTCAGTTGACGCGCGTCGAGTCTAGGTCACGAGCAAGGGTTTGACTCTAAGGAAGATAGATAGATTGAATTATTTGTTTACGGAGATAAGGACAAAATGTAAATAACCAATGTTTTGCAATGAATTTAAAAAAACAACAGTAAATGGGTACAGAAATGTAAAGCATATGTATGTGAATGTTTTTATTTACTTTGCAATAATTTTTAATACTTACATGCGTCTAACTCTAAATCATAATGACACGAATGCTTTGCAGCCGAATAAAGGCTGAATGGAGAAAAAAATGGCGGCCATTTTATTTTTTGTTTTAGGAAATTAACCACGTGACCAGATTATATGCTGTTCTGTTAAAAGATACTTTTATTGATGTAACAGTACAAATTTCTAAGTTTACGTACGTGGTACACGTGCATAAACAGTATAAAAATACTCCCAGTGTCTTAATGGGAGTAAAGATCACAAAAAGTGAGGGGTTATAATATCATTTACTGCAAGTCAATTGAACTTGTATTATTTTCACGAACACAGTAAATACATGCGTTTATTCAGCGTGAGTGTATATAAGTCATTTTCGAAATAGGCTTAGGCTTATCAGTGGTTCTGTTTGCTGTTAATTCCAAACAACCACTCTTTCTTTATAAAGCCAGCTGAAAGTGATTTTGTTATTTCATTTTTTTCTTTTCTTTTTTCTTTTTTTTGCGTCAAGAATATAGTAAAAGTTTGTTATACGTACAGAATTTAAAATGACGTTTGAAATATTGTCAGTTAAACAATAAATGCCTTAAATACCAGTACAAAACAAATATGTAAGCACATGCTTGAAAATAGTTTGCAGTTTAAAATCTCTTTTTTTTGTTCCTAGACTACTAACTGATGAATGGATCACTTTTTAAAAGTACATATAACTCTTTTTGCGTCACGTTGATATAGATTCGTCAACAATTGACAAATGACATAATAAAGCGCTTCAATTTCTCTTCATACAGACAGACAAGTAGATGCCTTTATGCAATTGAGTAGAGTATTGAAGAAACGATGATGTTTATTATGAGACATGATATTTACAATTTGATAACAAAAAAATCATTTTTTTTTTTTTTCAATTTAATTTCTTTGTAAAATTTCAAAAAAATCTTGCAGAGAAACGTCCTAGGTTTGAAAAGCTAATGAACTGAAGAGCTAATGAACTGACAGCAACCGCCTCCGTGGTCGAGGGGTTAGAGCTGATGACTTCTCATCCAGTTACCTCTCTGGCGTGGGTTCGATCCTCGGGAGATGCTTTGGTAGTTTAGCGCGGAGGAAGGTAGTCTAGTACTGGTGTAACTCTCCAGGAATGATGGTTAGGAAACTACCGGCCTATATGACTGAAATACTGTAAAGGCGTAAAATGAAACAAACAAAGAAATGACAGCAACAACAAGTCCAACATTTTCAACAACAACTTGCTATTACGTTACTTAAATATAGCGGCGCTCTTCGGAGTTCCGCTGGATAAGATTGTATTTGATTTATATATAGCCTGTAATATTAGAACGATGTTGAAATAGACTCCTGCTGGACTTTACTTTTATACATTTATCTAAAAAAAAAAATTAAACAACCTTCCAAATGTGTTTGTCTAACAGTGACTAGCGATTAAATGACAAAAGCAATTGATTTTCTGTTTGATCATTATAACATTGTTCAACTTACACTGCTTATTGAACATACAGCATGTTAAAATATTTTGATGTTTTCATTTTAGTACTAATCCTAAGGTATTCACGAATGCTTACTTTGGCCGTGGAACATTACCGACACTTTTAGACAATGTCAAATGTACGGGATCTGAAACAAGCTTGTTTCAATGTCCGCATAATGGTTGGGGAATAGAAGATTGCACTAACGGTGAAGATGTTGGTATATTATGTAAATAAGGTAATATTACTTTTCATTGATTTTGAAAAATAAAATTCATAAAAATTCATTTCGAAGTTATTCAAATGTAATTTTATGGCAAATTATGATACATTAGTTTGAATAAATTATGAAACATGGTAATTGTTCCTTTTCCGTTGTGAATGGATGTGGCATAAATGATTAGAGCACACAATGTTTATAACAGAAGTTAAGTTTTGTTTCAAACAACTGTGCTTCTTTTTTATTTAGCTATTTTAAATATTTCGTATAGTCAGTACAGAATGCATTTATGTTATTAGTTTTGAAGAGTTTCTACCAAGTATAAACGGTTGTAAGTTTGTACGATGGCTCGGGCTACATCGCAAACGACCATTTATAAAAGGCCGTAAAGTCTAACAAAATATTTTTGAGGAACAAAAAATTTAATCAGAATTCGTTAATTTGAGGACAAACAACATATTGACATTATACAGATTCATTAGACTTTAATAATGCATAAATTGTTTACTTGACACTAGCTATATGTTATCTTTTCAGCTGAATTCATTTTGAGACAACAAAAAAGGTACCTGGACCACTTTATTCAAATGTTGTTTACAATAGGTTTGGAGACCCTTTTTCATTATCAAGACATTTGTCTTCTCCGATTTGATATTATAATTGAACATTCCGAGCAAGTATGGAAAAGAATTGAAAACGAAAATTTGATATTTCATTTAAAGCTGTAGTAAACATAGCATGTTTTCTTCAAATTCATATAATACTTTCATAATGTATGTATATATTAAGTGTTACAGTGACGCTAAAAGCTGTTACGATTTGTTAACAAGCACAACACATACAATATGAACCTTCTCGGACCTTTACTATTTACATATTTAGTACTGTTTTACCTATATGAATATTTTGATGTTGTTCAATCAATCAAGTGTTTCGCGTGATTCTGAATGTCTTCTCCGAATCAATTTTGTTATGTTTATCACTGCTTGTCATTATTGATTTTTTGGTTCTTATTTTATAGATTAGTATTGTATCATTTAACATAAAAATAAGAAAATGTAGCAGGTTAAAAAAGATGTCACATTTCCTGTAAATAATACTGCATATTCAAAGTTCCTAAAATAGCTCAATGCAGTTTAACACATTTTTATCAATTCTCCTTTAATTAGCATGTTAGAATGGAATTCAATGAAGATATCAATTTCCTTGCATTATAGCATAATCATAATCATAATAATGCACGGTTTATCGCTCAGATACTCAGGCCTATCGGTTTCAACACAAACCATGCATCACTCTACAACAATGCACTTAAAATTGATATATGAGCCGCGTCACGACATAACCAACGTAATGCGTTTGCGACCAGCATGGATCCAGACCAGCCTGCGCATCCGCTCAGTCTGATCAGGATCAATGCTGTTCGTTATCAGATTCTCTACTGTAATAGGGTTTGTAAGCGAACAGCATGGATCCTTATCAGACTGCGCGGATGCGCAGGCTGGTCTGGATCCATGCTGGTCGCAAACGCATTACGTTGGTTTTGTCGTGACGCGGCTCAAATATTTTCTAGTTCGACAAAAGATTCGAGAACAATCATATTTGGTGAGATCTTAAGCCGTTTAAGCTATGTCACAACCCTTATTAGGTCATTAGGGGACATGTTGTCAGACTACCCCTTTAATTGATTATGAAAGTTACGTTCTTTTGAGTAAAATAGACAAGATATATAATTCCTGGATATATAGACTTGAACCTTCAAACCTTGAGAAGAATGTCTCGAAACATAAGTAGCCCAATTTTTTATACAAATTCACTGTAAGTCACAAGACAGACTTTGTTGCAATCTCAATATATGTAGTATGTTTAATTGATACATTCTACTGAACGTAAGAAATGTTCTGTATAGAAATAATAGATGATGTATTTTGGATGAAGTCCATCTGATACAGGTAAGAACTGAATATAGTAAGAAAGACCGGTAGGGGCATTTCAACTTCATGAATTCCCGATTTTATCTTCATGAATTCACAATTTTAACTTCGTGAATTCCCGTTTTCAACATACGGAATTCACGATTTCAGCTACATGAATTCCCGATTTCACTTTCAAGAATTCACGATTTCAACTTCATGAATTCACGATTTCAACTTCAGAAATTGAACTTCATGAATTGCCGATTTCATCTTCATTAATTCCCAATTTCAACTTCAAGAATTCACGATTTCAACTTCATGAATTCACAATGTAAACTTCACGAATTCACGATTTCAACTTCATGAAAACCCGATTTCAACTTCATGGTTTCAGCTTCATGAATTTACGATTTCAACTTCATGAATTCAAGATTTCAGCTTCACTAATTCACGAGTTTCAACTTCATCTTGTTCAGAATTTTTTTTCTACTTCTTAGAAGGGAGATATTGCTATACATAAAAGTACGATTTGTTGTATTAACCCTACGGACAGCCCTGTATAACTGTTTGCATTAATTAAGATAAATTGTTAATAGATTTTTTGAGTTTTCACAATTCATTTAGTTCTAATACCCCTATTTTAAATATGCTTAATCTGATCTTGTTAATATATCTGCCAAAATATGCACATGATAACAACTCCTTCAGGGACAAATTTAAAACAACACAAGTAACACATATAAACTTACTCTAAACAGGGGAAAAGTTCTACTTCGAGATTTATGTATATGAAGTTTTATAATAAATATCAAAGTCTGAAAAAGCTCTTAGGAACTAAAAATATATCAAACCCATTACTCTCGTGTGCCATTGAAATGTATATGAATATCCGCCGGAAAATACCTGTAACTTTAACTTTATAAAAAGGGGTTGGGCAGTCTTTTTTTATTTTTAGGCAGATTAATTGTCTATCCCTAACATTTACCAGTAGCAACTGTTGGTCAATTACCATATTAATAGTGATTGTTTTACTGTATATTCATTGTGAAATAGCATCACTCGCGTGTCTACCGGCTAACGCGTATTCCACACTTTTCAGTTAAATGTTTGCAATGTTTAATTATGATGTCAATACTATTTCTGCTAATGAAGTAGCTTACATTAATTATTTCCCTTAATTTTTTGAATAAGGTTATACTAGCATTGTCTAAAAATGTTTCAATTTTATTTTATTTGCTTAGATTTTTGTTAATATTTTATGTTATTGTCAATGAATTCTGTATGTGTGTTAGCTTAATATATATATGCTATATCTACCTTTAATATTTAGTTAGTTGATTATTATGATTTGTTCTTTGTAATTTTATGTTATAAGAGGTGTAATATTGTTACTCCAATTTTACTTTAAGTAAAACATACTAGTCATAATGTCCCCTCTTCTATTTACGTTGTTTGATCATTTCGCAATGAAAAATGTGAATAGTATCATCGCAAAAAAAGCGTGGAAAAAATTAACTGTCAATTTGAATGTTCACAATCAATTACTTGTATCAAATTGTTTTTTTATTACTCTCAGGCACCTTGTATTTAAATACATTTCATACTTTCCATATATTTGTCTTTATTGTTGAATTTTTGTCAAAATGAATACAAAGTTGTACACAAAAGTTAAAAGGTGAAATTTGCAGAATATTTTTGATTTAGTCTAGCAATGATTATAATAACAAGAGGGCAATGATGGCCCTGAGGTCGCTCACCTGTATATAGCCCCCCCCCCCCAACCCCCAACCCCCCCCCAACGTTGCAGGGCCAATTAAACCCAAGGGCTTTTATTTGCACAAACTTGGTAGACACCCATAAGAAGATGTTTCATGCTAAACATCTAAGCTCTAGCTCATTGGGCTTTTTAAAAGAAGATTTTTTTTAAGTTTTTACTATACACATATAGTTAAAAACAATGACACCCTGGGGCCGGGCCAGTTTTGACCCAGGGCTTTTATTTGAACAAACTTTTTAGACACTTTACTAGAAGATGTTTCATGCTTAATATCTAAACTCTAGCTATTTGGTTTTTTTCAAAGAAGATTTTAAGTTTTTGCTTTACACATATAAAGAAAATCAATGACCCCGGGGCAGGGCCAATTTTGACCCCAGGTCTTTTATTTGAACAAACTTTGTAGACACTCACTAAAAGATGTTTCATGCTAAATATCTTAACTCTAGCTATTTGGTTTTTTTTCAAAGAAGATTTTTTAAGTTTTTGCTATACACATATAAGGAAAATCAATGACCCCCGGGGCGGTGCCAATTTTGACCCCAGGGCTTTTATTTGAACAAACTTGGTAGACACCTATTAGAACATGTTTGATGCTCAATATCTTAGCCATAGCTCTTTGAGTTCTTTAAAAGAAGATTTTTTAAGTTTTTACTATATGCATATTGGGAAAATCAATGACCCCCCGGGGCGGGGCCAATTTTGACCCCAGGGCTTTTATTTGAACAAACTTGGTAGACACCTATTAGAACATGTTTGATGCTCAATATCTTAGCCATAGCTCTTTGAGTTCTTTAAAAGAAGATTTTTTAAGTTTTTACTATATGCATATAGGGAAAATCAATGACCCCCCGGGGCGGGGCCAATTTTGACCCCAGGGCTTTTATTTGAACTTACTTGGTAGACACTCACTAGAAGATGTTTCATGCCAAATATCTAAGCTCTAGCTCTTATGGTTTTTTAAAAGAAGATATTTAAAGTTTTTTCTTTCGGTTGCCATGGCAACCAGAGTTCTGCATGGAATTAAATTCTTTGAACAATGTTTAAAGCTGACAACCAAAGAAACATTCCTGTAAAGTTTGGATGAAATTGGCTTAGTGGTTTATGAGGACATGTCATTTAAAGTAAAAGTTTACGGACGGACGGACGCCGGACGAAAGGCGATCAAAAAAGCTCACCCTGTCACTTTGTGACAGGTGAGCTAAAAATAAATGATGATAATTGCAAAATATCTTACCCACAAGTTCTGGCTTTATAAGCGGTATCCATTCTTCCATTTTCGAAAATGTTAGAAAAAAACAACAATTTTAATTTATTGATCAAATAGCTAATATTTTTTCAATTTGTTTTACATATTTTTTTTTTTTGTATTTTAGTTGAATGATATTTTTATTATGTTTTCTAAGCCTAGTTAATCCGCAAACAAGTGATTACATTCGTTCAGTGTGTTGGATTGATGTGCCATCTATTACCCTTTTCTAAATAATGTGATTGATATAATATATTCTGTTTAGTCCTGACTTTATCAAAGCAAAATATTTTAATTTTTGTTCAGTAAAACAACTTTTAATCACTTTATTAATACACCTTTTTTAATCATTCATATACCAAATTTTAATGAGTACCAACTTAGAAAAAGTGGATAGATATTATTTACCAATTTTAAATTTTTCCCCTTTAGTATAATTATTTTAAGATGTAATTGTAATATTAGTTTTGAACGTAAATTGAAATTATTTGCGTTTCGATATTTTTTCGTAAACTGATAATTTATTGAGTTAAAATTAAAAAAAAAATCTGAAAATGGGTGTTTAATTGATCACAATGAAAACAAAATTTAAAGATGAAAAGTAGCAGAATTTCTTTTTTAGTATTGACAGAAACTGCAACATCCCTCACACGCATCATACCGGTATGAGCGAGGTTCTGCTTCAAAAGTAACAACATTTTGAACGAATAATTCGTCAATCTTAAAGTTAATCTTAAATCTTATATTTGCAGTCTCTGTGAATCAACACTTAAATTGTTTGAAAATTTAATGTTGTGCTATAATTGTTTTTCTGTCAGTCCTACAGTCTAAATGTTTGTGTTTTTGTTGTTGTTGTTTTTGCTATTATTATTATTATTATTAATTCAAAACGTTTATGAAAACTAGTTGAATTATCATTATACCATTTTATTTCTTGACCTTTGCTGAAAGTGAATTAGTCTACAATGGGCAAATTTTCTATAAGTATTTTCAAATATTGTTAAAACAATAGAAATGTATCATATTTTGACCTAGAACCGTTTATAATCTGCTTTATATTGATATATCATATAGGATCGTGTATCTTGCACTAATTTACAATATCGGATATAACTATTTCGTGGTTCGTGTTCACGTATGACACTATCTACTATCAACATAATTATTTATGGTATTACAGATGTTTCAATATTGACCAATTCACTTTCAGTTTATATTACTGATGTTTTTGTGTTTGGTTGATCTGTGATTAAATAAATTTATCAAGGTTCTACATACATTTTTTTCAGTGATATACATTTCAGAGTTATTTTGTTATAACTTAATTAATTTTTAAGATGTGTAATAATAATAATAATAAGACTAATAAAATA